AAAAAAAAAAAAAGGTGAACTTCTAATTACCTGTTGTTAATTAAATAAAGAGAATGGTGATATGTAGAGCCAGGAAAGTTACTGAGTATGTAAGAAATTATCTAAATAAATTTTTAAGATTATTTAATCTTGGAATTTCCCTTAAAATGTATATTCATAATAATTATAAACATCATTTAATAGTAACTATAATATAGTATGTAGTGCTTTATTATATTTGAAGATGTGGAAATAACTTAGTACTGATTACCAAACCTGATTTCACAAATATTTCATTCCTATGATTGGTTAAACATTTTTTTCCCCTCAATTGTTCAACCAATAGCAATTGGGCTCTCTCTTTCAGATCTTGGGAGTAAACAGCCAACGAGAAAGAATAAAGAAAAAAAATAGAGTGAAACACATATGCTGGTGTAACTGTGTTTTGTTCATTAAAAGCCAAGTAAAGGACAAGAAGGGTGAATAATATAAACTCCTCACCAACTAACCCCATCATGGACATGTCGCCCAAATCACGAAAGAATCCTGCCTTGTAACCAGAACAGTGGTCTGGTACTGGGACAGGAAGAGAAACCCACTGCAGTCAAGTCGATTTCAACTCACGGTGATCCTACAGGACAGAGTAGAACTGCCTTACAGGGTTTCCAAAGTCGTAATCTTTACAAAAGTGGACTGCCATATCTCTTCCCACAAGTGGCTGGTAGGTTCAAACCACCGACTTTTTGGTTAGTAACTGAGCACTTTAACCACTGCACTATCAGAGTGCCTCAGAGAATATAAGGCATGTTAAAAAATATTGTTTCTTTTACATCTTGGTCCACTATACTAAACAGAAATCTGTTCCTCTGCATGAGAGCTCTTAAATCACGATTGTTGTTTGCCTTCAAGTTGAATCTAACTTATGGCCACCCTGTAGAACAAGGTAGAACTGCCCCATGGGGTTTTCAAGGCTGAAATCTTTACAGGGGGATAATTCACTAGCTAACTCATAAGTCACTTGGGAAGAGAATCATAAAACAAGGGTAATGGAGAGCTTCAAAGCAGAAATTAAATACCCTTCATACAAAAATTACATGGCTAAAACAGCCTATTAAAGGCACCCTCTGATATATCTAACTTACAGTCTTTTCTTCAAATCCAAATATCCCAAATGGAGAATCATTCGGTGGAATAACAACAGTTACCACAATATCATCACCAAGTCTGCCACCTCCAGCTACTCTGATTAAGGAAATATTGAACATCTCCAAGAGTTCAAATTCATCATCATCAATTATGGTGATTTCTATCATGGCAGTAACCTATGAAAGAAAAGGGAAGGGATGGAAAAAGAATGCAAATAAGTGCAAAAAATTTTGATCAAATGCAATTTAATTTTTTAGTTTAAATTTAGAAGTATCTTACAAAAGAAGATTTTTGCCTATGATATGTTATGAACAAAACAGAAAGTCACATATTTCTATAATATAATCAGTTCCCATATTACAAACAAGTTTCATTCCTAAATCTATTTTTAAGTCAAAATTGTATGTGATTCAGAACAGTAAGGTATGGTTCATATCTAATGCAGATAGTCAAATGTTTGTATGTGTGTGTGTGTATATATATACATATATATATATGTTGTTGTTTTTGTTGTTATGTGCCGTTGAGTCGGCCCCGACTCATAGCAACCCCTCCTTGGGTTTCTGAGGCAGTATCACTACGGAAGTATGATTGCCCAACCTTCCTTCCGAGGAGGGGCTGGTGGGTTTGAACTGCCAGTGGTCTGGTTAGCAGGCAAGTGTCTTAGCCACTATGCTACCAGAGCTCCTATATATATATATATATATA